AGACATCAATTACAGGTGTCATAACCCACCTTAGACAATTGATGAAACTTTTAATGATCCTGATTTGTTGCACTGTGCAAACAACTCCTTATGGACCGAGCGAAGGCATAAGAAATGTATGCAGTTCTGAAGGATAGAAGGGAATAGCTTGTGACCCTTTTTAAGCACTCCACTAGGAATTTATAATTGTTTATTATGTTAATGACTTGTTAGGAGCAGACTATCATAATTTGAATAGGTAGTTAGAATGGTGTGTTAGCATTAGTATATGTGTATCATATTATGTGACTATTGAATTGATATATGAATCAGACAACTCATTATTTTCTTAATGTTTCATAATTTCAATTTGAGGATTCTAAAATTTTATGTGTTATGGCATAGGATAAAACAAAAATGGATGATGAAACTAAACTTGTGGAAGAGTATGCTAAGCGATGCTAAAAAAGACGGGTTAACCAAGTTGCAGTATTAGTCGGGGATACGCTACTTTATATTTGTGTAAAGAGCCTCGACATACAATTGTTTATACTGGTAGGGCATAGGTAAGGGACATTTTAGAGGGCAATCACACTCGTTGTTATAATATGTTTAGGATGGAAAGAGATGTGTTCTTAAGTCTTTACATAGAATTGCAATAACATGGTCTAAGGGAAACTAGAAATATAGGAATACATGAATCGGTTGCAATGTTTCTAACTGCCATTAGCCATGTGTTTAGTAGTAGAATGCAACAAGAAAGATTTCAGTATTCAGGGGAGCAATTAGCAGACATTTCCATAATGTTTTATTGGGATGCTGTTGACTTGTCTTGTATATTTGATCGTGTCCTCACAACTCCTTCGATAAACTTTCCCCATCCACCTAAAGGTATTTTTTAATTTGTTACATTTTATTTATATTTAGCTTAGAAACACAAGCATTGTTGACAGCAATCACGTATTTGATATAGGTAAATATTATTTAGTGGATGCTGGCTATCCGACACCAAATGGATACCTCAGCTCATGTAGACAAGAGCATTACCATATGCCTAATTTTTGAAGAACATCTACACTTGAAAATGAAAATGAGGTCTTCAATTATTTCCATTCAAGTTTAAGAAGTACAATTGAAAGAGCTTTTAGACTTTGAAAGAGTAAGTTTGCAATCATACAAAACATAACATGTTATCAAATACAAGTTAAAATCGTTTGTGCGATGATGGCTATACCTAATTTCGTTAGAACAACATCTATTACTGATCCTAAATTCATTAACTATGAAGAAGGTACTTATGCACAAGAAGATGTTGATGATAGAGTTGGATTTTCATATGTACATTCATCAATACAATCTTCATCTTATGTGGCCCGAGTTCATAACTCCATGAGAGATAAACTTGTTAATTATACACAAAGATAATAGTCAAGTCTTTTTAATATCTTTCTTTGTGTGATAATTTTTAATTTTCTTTTATTATACATTGTAATATATAGTCAAAAAACTATTACAAATGCTGTATATTGATGCAACCTCTCAATTATTATGACACTTCTTTTTTTAATTCTTTTTATTAATGTTAATCTTACATTCTGGTGACAATTATTATTAATAAATTTTTTTAATTTGTGTTTATTTAATTTTGTAAAAAAAATATCACGACATTTCATATCTATAATTTAAAATAAAATACTCCTCCGATCCTTATTATAAGACCCCATTTGACTTTTTATTTGGTCCTAATTATAAGACCCCAATCCATTTTGTTTCTTATATTTATGCATTTTTTCCAAGATAATCATTCTAATAATGATAGTTTTAGCCAATATACTTAATTAGCAAGGATATTTTAGGAATGACAACACTTATTTATTATAAATAACCAACTTACTTACTTCCTTAATCTCCTCAAATAAGTCAATTGGGTCTTATAATTAGGACCGGAGGAGTAATATTTTCTGTTGACAAAAAAAATATTCATCTTTTTTCAAAAAACATTTTAAATGTTTATATTTTATAAATATATATACACATGCTAACAATTAATTAATTTTTTATATTTTTATATTTCATTTATTATATTGACAAAAAAGTTATTAGCAAATTTATTACTTCAAATGATAACATAAATTAAAATTTATCTTCTATGTAATTATTATATTAACTTATGTACTTTTTAGTAATTTGTACTTTAAAAAAATATTTCTGATAATAACTATCCAAACACTAATTTTATTAAAATCATTTTTTCATAAAATCTATTCTTTCAAAATCTATTTTTAAAATCACTTTTTTTTTCCTATTGCATATATGATTATGATAAATGGGATATTAAAAGAGGCAGTAGTATAAACGCATAAAATGTCTCTCATTTTGTTAATTTACTCTTTGCGAAGCATGGGGCTCACACAGTTTAGATTAAAAAAATGTATAAAAACATCAAATGCATAGTGCGGCACAGCTCTATTGCCCGAAGATGCTACTGGAGTCATCCAGTAAAACGAGTTACCTGTAAAGCTGCGCTGGTGCCAAACCTACGCAGTGAAACTTGATGAAGAGTTATGTATTCTTCCCCAAAAAATTATTATTCAGTTATCTTAACACAGCAAATACATAGTCTTCCACAGCTATATGCACAACCCATAATTTTGCAAGTCCTTTCTGTTCATAATTTCCTATATCACCAATGGGCATGCATAGTATGAATTCAACATTACAGTGTGCTTCTGAAGCTTCCCGGCGGTAGTTCCAGCTGGAAAATGAATTGGTTTTGTGCTGGCAATTAGTCTCGCAGAGCTGGAAAGAATCTAACAATGATAATCAAAGAAGATTCAGATTCACTCTTCCATCATGTGTGGGGTAACATGCAAGTTTCTCAATGCCTCGGGCACTTCCTGCCCACACTGCTCTAGAATTTCAATCAGTGGTCCGACGTGTTTTGTGTCTCCCTTAGTCAGGAAACTGTGCAGGACACCATGGACACTGTGGCGGGCCATCCTTGTTAAAATATGCGTATAACGTTCAATAGAGGGTACAAAACTGGGTAGAATCACTATATCATACTTCCCTATATCTGCAGTGGAGATATGCTCAAAATCTATCAAGGCCACCGCTGGTTTCGTTCTGCTCTCTGAATCCACACTGTACAATATTACATAGAACAAGGAACAAAGAAACACTTGAGTTATGGCGTAGCTTCAAAAGGATAACAACTGATAACATAATGAAAATGAGACTATTCCAACAGTCATGCACTAAAAAAATGACTTTGGTATAACTATCTCGGAGACCTCAACATCCTTGTGAATGCTATCCATTTTTCTTTTATAGTATAAAGATCGCTCCGCTTTAATAATCACATGATTTAGCAATCTGTCTGTGGCGGATCCAGCCTCAGCAAATCGACACTGCTAATGATGACTACAGTAACAGCTGGCCATTGATAAATCTAGATCATCATTTACGTATAAGATTCACAGATCAGGCTAGAAGTTAATAAACTACTACTGTGTTGGTAGGCTAGGTTTCCTTTTGTTTCCCCCCGTGCAATAACTAATCTTTTCAAGATAATACATATCAATTTGAAATTAAAATACATAAAGAAACGCCTCCTAATTTACCTATCATTATATATTTGTGAATCAGACCCAACTGTAAGGGAAGAGCTTCTGGATTTGAGTGCAGCCACCAATTTTTGGGACTTCACAATTTTTCTTACGATATATAACACATATGATTTAAACGTCTGGCCACTCCAACACTGACCCAAGGCTTGGATGCTCTGCAAAAGTTAGAAGATTCACAGGGTTATGCAATGCATGCAACTAAAAATGTGAACAATTACGTGCCCGCATTTTTCAGAGTTGCAGCTAGCAAGAAAAAGGAGCAAAACATGCCTGTGCATCTTAAGAATGATAAAGGGTTTGTAAAACATGGGAAGGTTACTACTAGATAAAAAGTTAAAATCTCAACAAAGGCAACAATTAAGCCCAAACCAGACCAAGACAAACTAACTTCATTGATAGGAGAATAATTTAACCATTTAGCGGTTTAAAAGATATATTAAATAAGATCTAGTTTGTAGCCAGATCTTATATTTAGGACTAGAGGTAGTAAAATGTAGATTTATGGAGACCAAAATGGGTTTGGGATTTGATAACAAGAATTTTAAGTTACTTGGAAAAATTCAAACAAGGATATAACACTGAAAGTACTCCTAGGATATTGGCTTGGTATATAAAACCCATGCAAAGCCCCAGTACAAGTGAACACCAGATATTGGTTTGGTAGATATCCATAAAAGCCCGACACATACCAAGACCAAAATCCCCTTTGAAAATGAATCTAAAAGATAACCTGAAACCTAACAGAGAATCTACAATCAACACATATTTGGTTGAACTTTTCTTTCAATTGAAAATGAATCCATTGATAAGAAGAAGAACAAGACAAGTGGAGAACAAGGATTCCTCCACAGGTGTGATTCACAAACCAATCATTTATTTGCTCTGCGGATCTTTCCCACCCCCTTACAAGCATGTATGTGGCACCCCTAAGCAAATTACTAGCGGAAACCGAAAGGGATAACTCTTCTCCAACAAAGATGCACAGGAACAAACATCTGACAAATTTCTCACATTCTATCTACCTTGGACAGTAAGGGACTTGCGGGTCTACTTTCCTACCAACAAAGAAGGATTACCGAAGAAACAACATATCAATGGAGTGGAGGATTGGCAGCTGTTGCTGCTTTTCTTTGAAGCACTAGTCCTTGCTGCTAAACTTGAATCTTGTATTAACAGGCTACTTAAGGACTAAAATTAATGAAACAATATAAGAGGAAAGCAATTGCTTACTAAATTAAAGGAAAACAAAATTTGAAGCTAAGACAGTACCAGTATAGCCTAGTGCTAATGCCAATAGCCATAATTTAATTAATTAAATACATAAGAAAGAAACCAAGCTTAGTATACCAAAATATATACCTCCTGAAGCCTTTCTTCTTCAGATGCACACGTTTTTGCAGTCTGGACAATGCAAGAACTTTGACTTGTAACTGAACCATTAAGAGATAGTCTACAAATGGATCCTGCCAAAAGATTTTGAATGGTTGGGATAGATGAATAATGGGTACAGTTGTTGAAAACTACAAGTCGGGGAGCGCCAGAAATAGAATCCTTGATTGATTTTATAGCATCAATGTGGCCATCGCTAAAGAAAGAGTTCAACTGATCAACAACCTATACAATATCACAACAAGGGTTAATGAAATTATACACAATTTTTTTTTGGGGGGGGGTGAAAAAAGGTGATTTTATGGAATTAAAAACCATTGACTAATAAATACAAAGACATGATATACATTGCTAAAAAGGAAAGGAACAGTACACAAAAGTCTCTATCACAAAATAGTTGTTATAAGTAATGGATACAAAGATATTTTGATCAAAATAGCAGTACTTGTAACGCATCCTTTGCTATCCAGGAGCAAGTAGATTTTTAAATATAAGGGAAGATCATGTAATTTAAACATATCCCTTGGGAGAAGAGCGCATGTTACCCTCTTTTAAAAGATAGTAATAGTACTAGTACTAATAAATAAGCATGCAGATAAATGGATAAAAGAAGGAAAACTTCCATGTATAGCAAAATCAATAGAATTATTACCAGCATAGAGACACTAGATATATTGATAGCCTTCAAAGAAACAAGTTGCAAAAGCCTTTCAGGAGTGGAGACAAGGAACTCTGGCTCACAGCATTTCAGACTGTAAAACACCCAAAAAATGGTGAGAAGCTGAATAAGATGCCAAGGATAAGTTTATGCGTGTACGTATTCAAACTATCCTACCTAGATATAGGATATGCTTCCAATTTTCTTAATTGGCCCCTAACGGGGACCAAATGATTTTCATTTAGAAAATCACATTTTATTAATAGCTCTCCTTTACCTTTATTCTTTTGTCTTTCAATTTTAGCTTCTATTTTTCATTCCCTAGGATTTTGTCATTGATCGGTTTACTTTTGGAATTCCAATTTGCTGATTTCAAGGGATTCGAGGGCAGGACCATTGCCATTTTGCCTCTGATATCTATATTCTTTGAACTATTTTTCAAGCTAAGGAAACTATCAGAGTAATTATTGATTCTGATTTTCAGTACTCCCCAGATCAAAAGGCTACTCCTTGTCAAACTCATTCAGGAATAAAAGGCTTCGCTCAAAGATGAAGTTGTTCATTTGGATACAGCGCTGAAGGATATAAATATAAATGACTTATAGTAAACTTGTAACTACAAAGCACTCTCTTCTACTATTCGCATTATGTGTTAGAGCAGTAAATTCCTCACTGTTCAGCTGCCAGATAATTGGTCCAGACTCTTTTTGGTATTTCAAGGGAATGATGTATAGGTTCAGGGAGGTTGGGAACTTCTTGTATGCCACCTATGGAAATAGCAAAGAGAGAAAGGTCCGGAGGAATTGTACTATCTATGCTGTTATTTGGTGTCTATGTGATGGACCCAAACATGCAGCCAAGACGTAAAGGAGAAAGAAAGGAGAAGCAGAAGGCAAAAAAGAGGGGATAAAAGAAAGAGAAACTGACAATAAAACAGAAAGGCTAAGGGCAGAACTGAAAGACAAAAGAGAAAAGAAGGGTAAAAGAGCGGAACCATTGTGAAAAAGAGAAGGGAGTGGTTCGGCAGCAGAGTTTAGCAGGAAACAAAAACTGGGGAGAAGAGGGAGGGGGGAGGATGAAAGAAAAAGGGGGAGGGGGAGATTTAGACAGAGAGAGCCAGCCTCTTGAAAGTGGGGCTACGGTGTGTTTTGCAGAGAAGTGTTGGTGAATCTTTGTGTTAGAGGGAGATATTCACTTCAGATTGTGCAGTTGTAAGAACTTACCCACAAAGCTCTTTTGCATTATAATACTAGCACCTCTACTCTTTAGTCTTTAGCCATTTTCTGAACTGTGCTGTGTTGATAGGAGAGTCCTATCACTAATTTGGAGAGAATTGCAGAATTTTTTTGAATAATTTTCTTCCCCCACATCTTCTGCAGAAATTTGGTTTTTTGCTTTGTTATATCACTCAGGCAATGGTTTATTTCAACGTTTTTCTTAAATAGGAAGAGATGTTTGAGAGTTTTGCTTAGTTTAATTTTGTCCCCAATTCTTCCATTTGAAAAGTGCAGTTTATCATAGAAAGAATCTTATCATCAACTCCCGCACTCCACAACTTTCTTTTGGTGCTAAAATTTTCTTCTTCCATTATTGGGAAAAAAAAGAAGAAGAAGAAATACACAAATACACATTAAAATATTTCAAACATGCACTGCAATCATGTGAGTCTGCAAAAGAGCAGAAGAAAAATTCAAAAAACAAGGATGTCTATCATTTCCATGCAAAAAAGAAAAAAGAAAAAAAGGTGAGAAAATCATATCCATGGCTCTTTTGATAAAAACATGCCATCTTCATCTTCAGATCATTTTAAAAACTTAATGATCTTATTAGACCAGAGACATATCAGAATAATTAAAAAATCTCGTTGACATTAAATTTGAATTGAAAACAAAATGGACTATGCATTGCCAAACAGTGATAACAAATATTGTATGTGCCCCCACAATTGTGCTGCCTTTTGATAACAAGCATCGTTATGTTACAGAATTATGTTACAAAAGCCCCAAAAAAAAAAAAAAACACAGAGAGAGATTCACTCATTACCCTTGAATCTGGTGGTCTAAGGAGGCACCTGGATGTATACTCACTGTATGAATCCCAAGAGGTTTCAAAGCCTTGCAGACCGAGCGGACCTGTTCATAGATTTTTTAAATTGAAGTATAGAAGTTACAAGGAAACAAACAAATACACGGTAAGAAATAATCCATGGTAACAAGCAATGTTAGTTCTTCCCTTCTGTTAATGTTGTCTCAGCAAAAACAACAGCAAAAGGCATCATGAATGTTGCATCACAATAATAAACTCTTAAACAAGGAAACTTAGAAGCATCAGGAATACAGACAAGAAAGAAATTTACCCTAAAACCCCAGGGGGGGCAACAAGAAGAAGAATTTCGACTTATAGTATGAAATAATATATAAATATGACAATGAAAGATTATCTGCAAACCTTAACAGATTTTTCTTGGGAAGGCACTAGAAATAGAAGAAAGGGACTGCCAAAGGATAAGCCTTCTTTCTCCTTTCTTGCAATAGTATCGGCAGCACTAGAAACCATCCAGGCAATTTGTTCAGTGGTAGCAGAATTTCCACCGGTCTCCATTATATCTTTCCCAGTAGAATAACATTTCCAAAATTCCAATCCCCATGGGTCAAAAAGCAAAGAGTCTCCCTCTTGATCAGTGCAAGCATCATCATGCCGCAGTGCATTTTCAATTGAACTTAAACACCACAATAGAAATTTTGAAGGGGACTCAGGGTTTTCACATTCTTTTCCCTGGGGACCACAAAGGCACTCCTTCTTAATCACCTCAATATTTGCTCTTTCCACGTTAATACATTCCTGCCCCAGGGTGGCTGTGACAGATTTTTTATATTCATGTTTCAGATCTGTGACTTCATTTTCCCCTAACTTGTTAATTTTTGGAATATTACCTCCAAGCATGTCTTTCGTTCCAGCAGCACTCTTCCCACCATCACATCTCTCATCTTTGTTGGAATGGGTTTTCTTTTTAGAACGCTTCTTTTTAAATTCTGGTTTCCCTTGTCGGTCATTGAATGGATCATCTGGAGTAGGCAGGCTAAAGCACATCCCCTGCAATACCAAGAAGTAACCTAACATAATTTTACAAGAGAACTTGTCATATAACTAGAACTCGACAACAATAACTCATAATATGGACCATAAGGCATTCCTCACATTCTTCAAGAAGAAGAAGAAGATTGTATGATTATGCTCAACTTGATGAGCCTCTACAGCTGCATTCCCAAGAATTATTATACAAATAAAATTTACCAGGAAAGTTTTATATGCCAGGGGAACAAATCAGAAGACAACTAAATCCCACATTCCCACTTTCTCTTCAAACGGGAAAAACAAATAATTTATCGATGAGAAGAGAGGATAGTAATTGACATATCAAATAAGGTCCGATTAATACCCTCCAAAAACAAAAAGCTAATACAACAAAAAATAAACCAGGTTTTAACTCAAAAGAGCCTTCTAATCCCTTTGAAGATCAACAAGGGGCGTCCCGGAAAAGAGCCATTTGCAGGAAGACCCATAAAGATGCCATCAAATAATCCTTTCCCAAAGATGTAGCAGAAGGAATTACTTATTCAATAGTCTAGCATTCTGTTCCAACCAAAGACACCATAAACAAGTAAAGACTGCACAGAGTGCCAGAAAATACATGCTCCTTTTGCTTCCCTAAACCCATAAACTTAATATCCCTGCGTAACAGATAATTTATACAGCTAACATCGGTGGAACACCAACAGGAAATTTTCTTTCTTATCTGTCACGAAAGCCCCTTACTTTGATACTCAAGCTATCACTCATCAGCTGCAAATATCAACCAATACAAAAAAGAAGGCTTCTACTAGAGCAGCTTCACTAGACATGACAATATCCAGAAGTATGGAAAGAAAAGAAGAAATGCTTTAAGCCTCAATTTCGGTTTTTCACTTATAGTCTTGTTATAATGGAATCCTAAGAATAAAGTCTTCTCAAATGTTTCATTCAAAAATTCCACCGAGTGTGACTACCAACCAACGGTTCCTTGAAACAACAAAGTGCCACAAAAAGGCTACCATTTCCTCAAACTTGCTCCCAGAAGTTAACAATACGCAGCAATATTGCTATCTAGGGAGTACCTGGCACATGCGGCGTTTTCCGGAAAGGCGGCGCTTCTTGGCGGCGATGATGGCGGCCACCTTGGCAGAAACGGAGGAGGAGTCATTCTGCTTTCGGAGCTTCTTGCGAATCGATTTGTTCTTCTTCCTTCGGACAGCGTCCTCCCCCTTAGCCATTGCCACAATACAGTGAAAGCAATGCTCTCACAGTCGGAATCGGAGCAGCAAGTGGAAGTTATGCTCCCAGTTTGAGGGCGCGGCCCATGAACACATAAACGGCGCCACTAACCAAAGCGCCGATGTTGGCGGCGACTTGCTGGGAAGCACGAAGGATTTCTAGTATTTTTTTTTTTAAATTATATCTAACTGATATGTACATAACTTAAGGAATATTTTTTTATAAAATGAGATAAACTTTTTTATATATATTTACTTTATAAACTGTAAAAATATTTTTGAAACCATAGTTTGGTTTCTATCCAAACACTCCCTCAATCAAATATTCATATAAAATTCACATATTTGGCGGTTGTTAATTTGGTAGATTGGTAATAGAAATTATTGTCCCATGGATTATATCAAATCCGACCCCAAAACAAATGATTTACCTTATTGTTAATGCTTTATCTTTTTTTAGCCAGAAATAAATGCTTTATCAATTTATAAGTTATTTATTGTTTTGATATTTGTCATATTGTTAAGTATATAGGATGGTTGGAAAAGTAATATGGGAGGAATAAAGCTACGTTTAAATCAGATTCAGTGGGCTTAAAAACAAATTAACAGTTTGAATTTCAGTTTAATCCTAAATTTAAAATCCCAATCTATTTTATTTTTTATATTTATTTATTTTTTAGAGTAGTTTTTATAGTAGTTACACGTATTAAAGATTCCATCAAGTGATAGTCTTAGCTAATATACATAATTAACAAAGATATTCTAAAAAAGACAACAGATATTTATCACAAATAACTAATTTAACTAATTTTTTAATCTCCCCAAATTAGTCAACTAGGTATTATACTAAAAATTGAAGGTAGTATAAGAAATAATTAACTAATTTTAACAGATTAAAGAAATTTCTTAAGTTAGTTATTCATAATAAATAGGTACTATCTTTCCTTAAATACCATTATTAATCATGTATATTATTTAAAACTATCATTTGATAAAATCTTTAACAAGTGCAATTACTACAATGACTACTTTAAAAAATAAATAAATAAATATGAAAGACAAAATATATTAGAATCTTATATTTAGGATCAAAGTAAATATTAAACTAGCTATTATATTAAGAATCCGAGATAGTAGTATCAGGTCCTTAATATATAAGCTAGTTGACCAATTTGAGTATATTAAGAAAATTAGTTAAATTAGTTATTTATAATAAATCAGTGTTGTCTTTCCTAAAATATCCTTACTAATCATATGTATTAGCTAGAATTATTTTTTGATAAAACATTTAATATGTGTAATTATTATAAAGATTACTTTGTGAAAAAATAGATAAATATAAAAGACAAAAATTAATTAAAATCTTATATTTAGAATAAATTAAATATAAAATTAATCAAATTAAATGTGTATATATATTCTTTTTGGATACAGCAGAGGGCTTACAGCCTAAATCAAAATAACAACTAAGTTAGAATAAATCCCAGACTATCAGCGGGCACCAATTGCTTCAAATGCCTCGGACAAGTATGTAAAACAGAGGATCTAGATATCCCCCGCCTGGCCAAAGTATCTGCCACTTTGTTTTGTAATCTGGCAGTATGAGTGATTTTTAAATCCCAGGAATAATTGAGGAAGTTACGGACCTGGGTCATCAACAAATTGCTTCTATCATCACTGGCCACCTTCGCAGTCAAATTCCCAAGGCTTCGAGCATCCGACTCTACCATGACTTTCCTAAAGCCAAGATCCCAGGCAAATTATAGTGTTCTACAAATTAACTCTTACTACCTCTGGTTTTTAATATGAGATTTTTTTTTATTTTAATCTTAAATATAAGACCCCAATCTATTTTGTTTTTTATATTTATATATTTTTTTAGGTAGTCCTTCTAATAATAGTAGTTCTAACCAATACATTTGATTACTAAAGATATTTTAGAAAAGACAATACTTATTATAAATAACTAACTTAATTTCTTTTCTTAACCTCCTCAAATTAGTCAATTAGTTTTTATATTCAGGATATTAAATACTACCTCCAGTTCTTGATATAAGACCCCGTTTGACTTCTATGTTGGTCATAAATATAAAATTCCAATCCATTTTGTCTCTCATATTTACTCAATTTTTTCTAAGACAGTCATTATAGTTTTAACCAACATACTTTATTAGTAAGGATATTTAGAAAAGACAACACATATTTATTGCAAATAACTAACTTAACTTCTTTTCTTAATTTTCTCAAATTAGTCAACTGGCTCTTATAATTAAGATTGGAGGTAGTATTAGTATTAATTTTTTCCCCAAGGTAAACCAGTTTCTAAGATCTAAGGCCCAATATGTCTTTTTCATGCCAATCCGAGGCCCAACATGTCTTTTTTTTTGGTGAAAAACTGGTTCCAAATGGCTTTCTTTCTTTCCTTCCCTCCCCGCCCCCACCTTTTTGAGATACCTCATGGGCAGAGGATACAACTGGTTACAAAAGGCTTTCTTTCTTTCCTTTGTTTTTTCTTAGAAATCACGGGCTTGAAGCTAAGAGCTTCACTATTTAGTCATAAGCATCAAATCATTTAAAATTTTGACAAACCCATATGAGGTGGTCCAGATGGTCTGAGCTGACCCATGTTAGCAATTTTATTGGCTGATGAGCTAAGAGCCCATTTGGAATCGCAATCATGAGTGCTTATAAACATATTTTACATGAACTGAGATAAAAAAAATTTCACATACTTATATCTTATTTTGTAAATTATGATGCTTATGAGTCATTCTAAACATGAGCTAATTAAATGGGCAATATGTAAAACCTAATTAAACCAAACGGTCATGTTTAATGCCCAACGGTCAAAAGATCATTGGTCCCAAAGCGCCTCTCCCCCCCTCATTCCGAATCAGCAACCCTAGATCCGGCTTTCTTTAAATTCTCATCTTGTCCTCTGTCTCTTCTCTCAATGTTCACAGTTAGATCATAGATGGAGTGGGTCTGCTTCTGCAGCACGGAGTTGGACCTGAGAGTAAAAAGAAGGGGAAATCACAAATAAAGACCCTCAAATTAGCAAAATCACTTTATAGTCACCTGAATAAGCCAAATTACCATGAGGGACCGGGTCTCAAAGTGCAATTATGAAATCATGGCCAAATTACCAAAATACCTCTCTTTAATTTTTTTTTTTTTTAAAAAGAAAGCCACTGCCTCACCGGAATCCGGCCACCGGCGCCGAAGCTCTGGCGGCCGCTTCCGGCCACTGCCGGCGGGGTCCGGCCGTCGGAGCCGAAGGTCCGGCGGCAGCTTCCGGCCATTGCCGGCGGCCTTCCTTTGTTTTTTTTTTTTTTGCAACTGCTTTTTTTTAAAAATAGTGGGGGAAGTGAGGTTGGGGGGATTTGATCCCCCAACCTAATGCTTCCTAAAATAAGGAATGACCATTAAGCCAACAAATTTTTGTTAACATTATAATGTAAAAAAAAATATAAGTTAACTCATTTACTCTTGTTCCAGGTGATAACAACAATACATTTGGAAATAACAAGTTCTGATTGTAAAATAACACATCTGGAATAAAAATTTAACAATATGTTTTTTTTAATAACAATAAATTTTGTTGCAGGTAATAACAACAATACATTTAAAAATAACAAGTTCTTATTATAAGATAACAAGTCTGGGATTAAAATTTAACAACACGTTTTTTTTTTATAACAACACACTTTGTTTCAGGTGATAACAACATACATTTGGAAATAACAAGTTCTGATTGTAAAATAACAAGTCTGGAATAAAAATTTAACAATATGTTTTTTTTATAACAATAAATTTTGTTGCAGGTAATAACAACAATACATTTAAAAATAACAAGTTTTGATTATAAAATAACAAGTTTTGAATTAAAATTTAACAACACGTTTTTTAATAACAACACACTTTGTTTCAAGTAATAACAACAATACATTTAAAATAACAAGTCTAGGATTAAAATTTAACAACACATTTTTTATAACAATTAATTATTTTATACTTTTGAAAAATAAATTATTTATAACTTATAAAAAATATTTTTAATATATTTATTTCTCTAAAAAATACTTTTTAATCTATATATCTATACAACTCATTATAAATCAAACTACTTCTTATAAATTATAAAGTATTTATAATTAGGTATTTTAATCTATTAATCATAGTATAAATTTTATATTATTTCATTCTTTAAATATTAAAAATAGTTTTTATATTTAAAGAATAAAATAGTATTTTTAATTATAAATTAGAGATAAATTTCATTTATAAATTTAAGCAGTCAAAAATATTTTTAATCCATAATAATTGTACTATTTATAATTTATAAGAAGTAGTTTGATTTATAATAAGTTGTATAGATATATAGATTAAAAAAAATTTAAAAAGTGTGTTGCCATTTTCCCTAAATTTTATTTATAAATTTGAACAATAAAAAAGTATTTTTAATCTATAAAAAATTATACTTCAAGTTCTAATTATAAATTGGAGATAAAAATTATTTTTTTAGCAAATTAAATAGATTACAAGTACTTTTTATAAGTTATAAATAATTTATTTTCCAAAAGTATAAAATAATTAATTGTTATAAAAAAAAAGTGCTGTTAAATTTTAATGCCAGACTTGTTATTTTATAATCAGAACTTGTTATTTCCAAATGTATTGTTGTTATCACCTGAAACAAAGTGTGTTGTTATAAAAAAAATGTGTTGTTAAATTTTAATCCCAGACTTGTTATCTTATAATCAGAATTTGTTATTTTTAAATGTATTGTTGTTATCACTTAAAACAAAGTGTGTTGTTATAAAAAAAAACGTGTTGTTAAATTTTAATCCCAAACTTGTTATTTTATAATAAGAACTTGTTATTTTTAAATGTATTGTTGTTATTACCTGCAACAAAATTTATTGTTATAAAAAAAAACATATTGTTAAATTTTTATTCCAGACGTGTTATTTTACAATCAGAACTTGTTATTTCCAAATGTATTGTTGTTATCACCTGGAACAAGAGTAAATGAATTACTTTTTTTTTTTTGCATTATAATGTTAATAAAAATTTGTTGACTCAATGGTCGTTCTTTATTTTGGGAAGCATTAGG